CCCCCCCCCCCATCTGAATAACGCAGCCATTCATTCATTCCTCGTAATGTTTTTATCAGAAGAATGAACGGAGAGCAGACGATACAAGTAAACAGACTATATATAACCATGCTGATCCCCCAAAGGCTTAACAGACACCCAAGTTCCATTGTGCTCTGAGAGTGATGAGATCGGTCTGGACAAGTGTCTTGCAGGAAGTAGGTCACAAGCTCAGGGCTGTCTTCTGCAAAGCACTAATTGTGGATAATTTCTTATTTTCCAGCTGTCGATACGGAGCTTCCGAACCTCACACCATAGCTTCCTTCTTGGGAGGTAAATACAGAATCTGGCTGATAAAAAGACTTTGATCATAAACACGTCATAGATTTTGCTGACATGTTCTAAGCCTAACTTGCTGTAGTAATACTATGGGGCATATTTTATAAAACAGCCAAGGTGACTTTCAAGAACCATTCACTGGCGGGGAATCAATCAGTCATTTCAAACACTTGCACCTGGAAGATTATCTTGCAGTGAATGTTCAGTGAATGTCAAATTTACTGATTTATATATATTTGCCCCATATTGTGTTTGTAGCCAGAGGGCTACTCATTCCTCCACCCATGGTGCACTTGTTCTGCACTGAGGCTAAAAGCTTCAATTGGTTTACATTGGTGATCTGTTTTGCCACTGGCAGAAATGTATATACTTCAATCAGATTATTTTTAACACTGGACTGGACATATATAAAGAGAGCTGCATTTATGGAAAGCTCTGTAAATAGGTCATCTGATTTCTTTGAATAAAAAAAATGGGATGTGTCCAGTACACTTTCTTTACATCCTTCCTTTCAATTTCTCTTTAAAGGACAAGTATTGGGAGAATAAAATATACTCTTCCCAATACTTAGAGCCTGTGTGTGACCATGCAGATGTCACATGCCGATTCTATAGATCACGAACCACTGATCACTCCGCTTACGGGTCTTCTCCCTGTCAATCCCCTCTCCCCGCAGGCATTCCCCCTCCACTTTCTGTTCCTCCACTGCTCATTGGAGGCACAGACCGGGGAGGGGTGCAGGCACAGCTTGTCCCGGCTCTAGAGAGGCAGAGCCAGCCATCATTCAGGCAGCTGGGTGGATCCTGACAATATTGTTGGGATCTTTCCTGGCTGCAGAGTGGCACTGCACTGTCAGCAAATAGCGGACAGTAGCCCGTTAGATGCTGACGTTGGGTCACAGGAGTACATTAGTAAATTTACTCCTTTGAGCCCAAATTGTAGTAAAACCAAAAAAAAAAAGGTTTGGCTTTAGTTCTCTTTTAAAGAGGACCTGTACTGTCGAAGCTGTGCCAAACAAAACGGCAAGCAAGAGGGCAAAGGACTAGTCAATAGTATTGCCTGTGGATTTCCTGCTGCTGCTATTTTCCCCATTACTGTTTTGCCATGGCTTGTTCTGCATTGTGTGGAGGCAGCCATCTTGGAAGAGTATCAGGACTTTGCTTTCTAATTTCTGAGCTTGTCCCCCTGATGACTGCAGATGCTCAGGTACAGCTTCCTTTCCAGCACGGGGAACAGTGAGCAGCACTGTAGTGACATCACAAATCACAATTACATCAGAACTTGTAATGCTTCTGTCATTGGATTGTGGGCCGTCAGGGTCATTTCAGAGCTGATTAAGGAACACACTTGAAGACCCTCCTGTGAGACACTGTCAGTTGTTTTGTATACTGAAGGGAAGGTCAGTACTAAGAAATCTCTAACAGCTGCTAATAAGATTCAGCATGCCATAGAAGCATGAATTTGATTGGTGATGCAAGATGCAAACAGAAAGGAAGATACAGGCTACAGCAAGTATACCCCTACTGACCCTGTATGTGCGCTTATTCTGCCGTATATTACAGAACTCAAAATATGGTAAATTGAACTAGTTAAACCTTTAGTTTGAGCTAAATGCATTTCAGGAGTATCAAAACAAAAGATGTGTGTGTGTCCTTTTAAAGCAGCCACAATCTTAATAGAAAAAAAAACTGTGTCCTGCCTAGCAGCTGCAGAGTGGGGCCCTTGTTCTCTGTGGGGAAGCAATGGTCTCTCTGCAGAGGTCTGACACACGTTCTGCTGAGCCAGACCAATAGCTCTGCCTTCGGCAAAGCTCATGCCATCTGCTGATTGGAGCGCTCTGGTTGTGACTCCACAGGGGGCATGTCAGACCTCTGCAGAGAGACTACTGCTCCCACGCAGAAATCAAGGGTCCTATTCTGCACCTTCTAGGCAGTGGACAAGCGTCTCTATTTGGTTAAAGAAAACCAACTGCAAGACTCTTATTTTGATACGTCTGGAATGTATTTAGCTACAGCAATTTAAACGGAGAGTTTAATCATCTTTAACACGGTTGCCTTTTACTGTATAGCATTACCAGCTCACGCTGTGATTTCCCTTTGCCTGAAATTGCTCTCTAATAGTTTCCAATTCCCCATCTGGTATTCCGCATTCTTCTTGTGCCACCTGCTATAAGTGTATTGTTCACATTTAACACCCTTCCATTTCTATTTTTCAGGAACTGCTGCACAGGAGGCTATAAAGATCATCACAAAACAGTTTGTCATATTTAACAACACATTCATTTACAATGCCATGTCACAGACCTCTGCAACGTTCCAGCTTTAGACTCGCCGCACAGAATTATCTTCTTCTCCGTTACTCTCTGGACATCAATAATTTTCCTTAAAGTGACAGAACACTTAATGCTGGTATTTGAGGAGGTGGCAGCAGACTGAATCACCCACTGGCTTCTTCTTGACAAAACATACTTGAGTGCCCAGTCCCACCTAGATGCTGCTGCCGCCGCCGCCATTATATGAGCCCCCCCCCCCCCCCCCCCCCC